AACTAAGATATGAATCAGGTTCCTCCAAAGACTGTGTCCCTAGCCACCACTTCACCCTTCCTCCCAAGCAACTCGCAGCTGCTCCATCTTAGCCTCCACCCCATCTCTGCCTCCTCCTTGGTTGGTCGCTGGCTGCAGCCAGGAATCGGTCCATCCTGGTGTCAGCCAGGGCTTGGTGGCTCTAGAACTCAGAGGGTCCTGCAGGGTACATTCCTATCCCAGGCCCTCTGCGCTCAATCTAGTCAACAGTTTCAAGTCAGACAGGTGGACTGGGTTTTCACAATATCTCTCCTCACTTGTTTGGCTGGCTAGCTTTGTGGAAAATTTCTGTGGTTAGCTAGCTGGCTTTTGTAATCTGCTTATCAAGTTTGGGATATTTATATTTATAAGCTGACTTTATCGTCAGGCAGCTGACCTTTAAAAAATTCCTCAAGGCTGTAAGGAAGTTCCTTGAGCCAAGAATGAAGAATTTTCCTTCACTTGTCAACAAAATGCATTTTATAGGGTGGGCAAGACCTTTAAACTTTGTTTTGTTTTTTTTTGAGAAGGGGAGTCAGGTGAAATTCTAGACCCTTCTCTCAATAGATATAGGCATCTGCAGATTTCAAATCCAAAGGGTCTGGAGCAGACACCTGGATTGGTAAAATAAATGATAGTGTGAGCCTGGGTGGGCATGGTCAGTTAAGCGTCGACTTCAGCCAGGTCACGCGATCATGATCCGTGAGTTCGAGCCCAGCGTCAGGCTCTGGGCTGATGGCTCAGAGCCTGGAGCCCTATTTCGATTCTGTGTCTCCCTCTCTCTGCCCCTCCCGTTCATGCTCTGTCTCATCCCAAAATAAATAAACGTTGAAAAAAAAAAATTAAAAAAATAAATAAATAAATAAATAAATATTAGTGCTGTCCCCATTTCCCTAGCCCAGACTCAATGACCCAGTCGGGACCAGTTAACAAGGGAAGCCTGTCCAGACAGACCTTTGCTCCAAGTTTGTTTCCATCTCCCTGCAGCCCACTTTTCCCACCCCTCATTTCCCACCTGAACTGGAGCCACAAGGAGGGTTATACCACCTCCTCCCCAAACCTTCTTACCTGCATTGTAACCGAGGAACAGCCTTACCCTGAATCATGCATTCTCAACAGGGGAGAAATATCCCATGAAGGGATGAGAATTGGCTCAAGAGGGGCACGTATACACTTTAGATATTTCAGTGGCTTCTGACCTCAAGGACCACAGTACATAAACAGATATACCATACCTGTCGTGGGAAGAAATGGCATTGTTGCTATTTGCAGATGATGTGATTTCTTAATGTAGAGAATCCTGAAACTGGGGTATCTATGGTATTAAAATTTCATTATGGGGGGGAGGCTCATGACTGGGAAAAATATGTTTAAAAAGAAGCTCTGTATGGAGATAAAAAAAAAAAGAGAGAGAGAGAGGAAGGTTTGAAGCACTGGCCTTAAGAAAAAATTAGGATAAATTTAGCACACTGGGAGCAGAAGGGTTAGGATATTAGCCTTCACTGAAGCTTGAATTTTTTTCATCTTATTGAGACTCCAACAGACCAGGAGGGCCACAGGAAGGAGAGAGGCTGGGAGAGCTGCTCACTAGCTGACGGGGCAGTGCACCCGACGGAGCAGCCCATGGAGCGAGGTCACAGATGAATTCAGTCTAGACACAGGTGCCCCTGCTGGGCAAACCCCCAACTCTGCAACATAATATATATATATACACACACAAGCAGATTTCTGAGTGATGATGTTCCTGGGAGTGTGAGCCCTTGGATCTCAGAAGGAGGCCCTGGAGCAGGCAGAACTGGCCATGGCTGAGCTGGTTTCTCTGCTTCAGGTGTGTGTGGTTGAAATCCCCCATTTGGCTGTGTTGGGGACACAGAGCCACCCACTTGTCAGCCACTGCAAGGTGGACTCCCCTGACTACCTTGGACCCTAGGACCCCCCACAATTGTCTGCTCTGTCCCAGATCTTGTTCTGTATTGCCTGAAGCCAAGCCCATGCATATTTTTTTGCTAAGATCTAATATCTGTTCATTTTTATAACTCACGAAGCAGTAAAGCTGTCATCTTGGTTGTCTGTAAAATAAGATCTTATATTTGTGTGGTTCTTCACATATTACATTGTTTTTGAGGTTTATTTCTTCTTGAGGTGGGGAGGGGCAGAGAGAGAGGGAGATGCAGAATCCGAAGCAGGCTCCAGGCTCTGAGCTGTCAGCACAGAGCCCGACGCGGGGCGTGAGCCCATGAACTGTGAGATCATGACCTGAGCCGAAGTCGGACGCTCAACCGACTGAGCCACCCAGGTGTCCCTGTGTGGTTCTTCACATATTAAAAAGCTATTTGCACATTCTCTCATTGGTTCATGCAAGCGCCTGTGAGGTAAAAATGATCTGTATTGTCCCATTGGATAGAATTGGAGCCCAAGCCTCAGTGAGTTTGACATACCAGACCAGTCAGAGGTTATGGAGTGAGAATTGAAAACTCAGTGAGTGCCCTGGCTTCCAGCCCAGCAAGTTCATGGTTAGTTGACATGGATGAATCTGAGATAGCATTCAAAGATGAAGCACAGGGGACACATGTGGACCTGCTCTTAGAAGCTAAAACTCCAGGGCCGGAATCTGGTCATCTGGGCCAGGTAGGTGGGGTTACGGGTGATGGCCTGTGCCGTGGGAACCCCTGCAGGTACTAACGTGGATTCCATTTGGGACACCCCAGACAAGACAGCCCGGACAGCGACACATTAATTACACATTGCTAACATCCTGGGCTCCCCTCCCTCTTGTTAAGGGTTTTACCACCTGTGACTCTGGGGACACAAACAGGGGTGTGAGATTACCCGGCAGGGGGCAGAGGTGCCGTTCTTACAGATGCTGGTCTCTGGCTCCTGACTCCCTCTAGAGGGTAATTCTTGAAACTGGCGCCTCTTTTCCTCCATGTGCCTCTCCTTTTGGGAGAGGATCCCTGACGGGCCCACCCTGGGTCTTCTCTTTTGGAATGGGGGCGGGGAGGGGCTCACAGATGTGAGCAACAAGGAGCTCTGGGCTCTGCTAAGCCCTGACAGGACTTCACAAAGTGCAACTCCCCCATGTTCGGGAACCTCCGCCCCCCCAACCCCCGCTCCCCGCCCTGCTTTAACACAGACAAGAAGCTGCTCAGTGGCTCCCGGGTGGGCTGAGCAGAGTTTGGTGCCTCAGACTTTGAGCATTCACATCTTTATTAAAGGCTGCATAAATGGAGAGAGGGCAGAAGAGCCCTTTGTTATAAAACCTGTGGTCAACTACATCTGCAGATGGCAAGCACGGGAGGGGTGTAAACCAGCGGGCACTGCCTCGTTCGGGGGGAGGCCGAGGGAAGAAAATACGAGTGGTGGCCCAAGGGCTGCCTTGCAATTGCCAGGATGGTCAGCACAGCCAGGCTGGGGCCCAGCCTCCTCTTCCCCTCACCCATCAGCCTGTTCCCACAGCTTTTGAGCCGGCCCTCGCTTTACACTCGAATGCTATTTTAAACACGTCAAAGCTCACGGTTAGAGTTGACACTCCCACTGTGGTAGCTGGTTCCCATGTGATCCTTTCGTGGATCTATCTCCAGGGCACCCAGCGGACGGGGGCTGAGGTGTGGGCACACAGACTTCACTCCTGTGAAAGCTCAGGCAATAGGGGCAGGAGGCCCTGGGCTGTGGCCCAGCGGCGGGAGCCAAGGGAGGGGGAAGGGAGAGGAGATGGGGAGGGACAGTGGTTCTGCTAGTCAGAGGGAAGGCCCTGACCTTGCTGTGTTCTGCTGCTGCCCTCTGGTGTGACCACAGATTGAGGACCTTAGCTTAGGTTAGGGCTGAGAGCTAGGGTTTAGGTTGAAAACCATCTTGTCCACTGGCTCGGTGGCTGCCGTCCATGCCTAAAGTCCCAGAATGGAGAAACTGGAATGGGAGCTCTGAGCCCATCTGGGCCAATTGGCCCATTTTACAGTGAAGACACAAGGGGTCATTTCCTAGGTCACAGTGAACGTGCCCAGTCGGGGCCAGGACTTTCTCTGCTGCTCTTTCGGGAAGCAGTCTATCAGAGCACTGGTTCTTAGCGGGCATCAGAACCAGCTGGAGAACATGCTAAAACAGCTTGCTGGGCCCGCCTAAGAGATGCTGATCCCAGAGGTCTGGTGTAGCGACTCTCAGGGGATGCCAACGCTGAGGGCTCCTGGTGTGTGTGGCGGGCAGCCCTGGGCTAGAGGACATTCCTAATGGGGCTGAGGGGGGTGGTACAGAGAGAGCAAAAGCCACACTGAGAGGGGCTGATGGCCTGAGGACCGAAGAGAAAAGCCCGACTAAAGGAGAGGCGTCTGGGTGGCCAGAAGGCAAGAAGCAAGCTTGGAAGGGTCAGACTCTAGAAGGTGGGACAGACGTGGGGCAGCAGATTCTGTCTCTGCAGACACAAGGCCCCGTGGGGATGAAAATGCATTTTTATCCCCAAAGGAGAAGTGACCAGGGAGCCGGCCTTCAGACAGGCAGGTGGTGGGAAAACCCAAACTCATGATGGCGGTTTGGTTGAGAGGCACTTTGGGTGCCTGTGGGGTGTCGCCGGCAGGCAGTGTCCACGGGGGCTGTTGGCAGGTCGCCCAGGGCAGTGGCCGGGGTCAGGGAGGAACTGCAGGGACACTCGTGGAGGCGGCGAGTTGGGTGGCTGGGGGCCTTCTTTGCGTAAAACCTCCCTGGTTTTGGCTCCTGGAGGAGAGGGGCCAGGTGTCTGGTGAACCAACCCACTGGTGCTCCCAAAGCCGGAATGGGGATTTGGTGGCCCCTGGGGGATTAGGACTTGGACTTAGAACCTTCTCTGTGGGGCTTTTCGAGAAGGGGAATTTGGTCCGGGAGAACTGATTCTGGACCAAATGACAACTGCATACCGGGGCCCAGGGCCTGGAAATGCGGTCATGGGTGGGGCCTGCTCAGGGGCCTCGTCCCTCTTGGCCCCCCTGAGATTCCAAGCCGGTCATCGCCTCCTCTCAGCTCTGTTGGGGCGCCTTTTCTGCCAAGCTGTGGCCAGCGATGCCTTCTGCCCGTGCCATGGCGGCCTCCTCCGACAGACCTTTGAAGTAGCTGCTCAGAGCCTGCAGGTTGACAGCGCGCTGCATGGGGGGTGACGAGGTGGTCTGCAGGCTCAGGTAGCGGCTGTACTTCTTCAAGCCCCGCTCTGGGTCACGGCGGTGTGCGGTCAGCAGCTCGGTGAAGCTCACGTTGTGGAGGGCCAAGAGGCGGGCCTCGGCCCTGAGCAGGGCGGCCGCCTGCACCAGGGGCTGCAGGGACGCAAAGCACTGCAGGCTGCTGAAGGAGTAGACGTGCTGGGCCAGCTGGGGGCCCGGTGAGACCTCGAGGAGGCGGCACAGGTCTCGCATGGCCAGCACGGCGGCCAGGGCGCTGCGTTCGCTCATGTTTCTCGCCAGGTAGGTCTTGGCCAGACTCTTGAGTTTGAAGCTGCTGGCCCTGGGCACGCGCTCCCGGATGAGGGGCAGAGCGGCCAGGAAGCCCGAGATGACCTCCTGAAACTCCCACAGCCTGTTCATGTCCTCCAGGGCCCGGAAGAAGTTGGGGAGGCCGGGCCCCCACAGCTTGTAGCAGGCCAAGATGGGGCG